AGGGAAAGGGGGGGAGAGGGCGGTAAGCAACAAGTTCGAAGGGAGGGAAGAGTTAAAGGCTGACTTTTTGCCAAACCCAGGGAGGCTTTCGGCCAGAAGGCCGGCGGCCGGAGGCCGGCCGAAGAACGAAGGCGGTCGGACGGCGGGGCGTTTGCGAAGACCGAAGGTGGAAGGCGAAGCCTGTCGAAGGAGGAGGCGAAGGCTGGCGGCGGCGGCGGAGAGTGCCAAGGCTTGAGACGGCGGCGGCGGAGGCGGCCAAGGCGGAGGCGGAGGCGATCGGCAACGCCAAGGCAGCACGCGCGCACGCGGCGGCCACTTGAGAGTTCGGACAGGGAAGTCGTACGTTGCGGCACGTCGATAGGTGGAGGCGGAGGCGGTGGCCCAGAAGATGCGCAAGGCGGCGGCACACTGGAAGGCGAAGGCGGAGGCGGCGCAGCAGGCAGCGCCGGCCGAGGGGTCTGACGCTGCGAGCCAGGTGGTTGCGCAAGGGGGGGAAGGAAGGGGGAGGGTAGTAGCAACAGCGGAGACGGGAGAGTAATGCTGACTCTGCGAGCCAGGTGGCGGCGGCGGAGGCGGCGGCGGAGGCGGCGAGGACGGAGGCGGCGGCGGCGGGCGTTGCGAAGGCCGAGGTGGAGGCGAGGCTGGCGGAGGCGGAGGCGAGGCTGGCGGCGGCGGCGGAGAGTGCCAAGGCTGAGACGGCGGCGGCGGAGGCGGCCAAGGCGGAGGCGGAGGCGATCGGCAACGCCAAGGCAGCACGCGCGCACGCGGCGGCCACTTGAGAGTTCGGACAGGGAAGTCGTACGTTGCGGCACATCGATAGGTGGAGGCGGAGGCGGTGGCCCAGAAGATGCGCAAGGCGGCGGCACACTGGAAGGCGAAGGCGGAGGCGGCGCAGCAGGCAGCGCCGGCCGAGGGGTCTGACGCTGCGAGCCAGGTGGTTGCGCAAGGGGGGGAAGGAAGGGGGAGGGTAGTAGCAACAGCGGAGACGGGAGAGTAATGCTGACTCTGCGAGCCAGGTGGCGGCGGCGGAGGCGGCGGCGGAGGCGGCGAGGACGGAGGCGGCGGCGGCGGGCGTTGCGAAGACCGAGGTGGAGGCGAGGCTGGCGGAGGCGGAGGCGAGGCTGGCGGCGGCGGCGGAGAGTGCCAAGGCTGAGACGGCGGCGGCGGAGGCGGCCAAGGCGGAGGCGGAGGCGATCGGCAACGCCAAGGCAGCACGCGCGCACGCGGCGGCCACTTGAGAGTTCGGACAGGGAAGTCGTACGTTGCGGCACATCGATAGGTGGAGGCGGAGGCGGTGGCCCAGAAGATGCGCAAGGCGGCGGCACACTGGAAGGCGAAGGCGGAGGCGGCGCAGCAGGCAGCGCCGGCCGAGGCGGGCCAGAGCGCTGACCAGCCCAACGAGGCTGCCGACCAGACCTCCCGCGTGGCGGAGCTGGAGAAGAAGCTGGAGAGCATGGAGGCGGCCGTGGAGAAGCTGCGGAAGGCGGCGCGCCACTGGAAGTCGAGGTTCGATGAGGTTTCGGGGGCCAAGCAGAGCTCGTAGGCTCAGGCGCACGGCGTGAAATGCTCCGATATGCGCACGCACGCGTGCACACGTTCGTTGTACGGTATCGGTTTGTTTTGGCGCCCCCCCTGCCAAAACTCCCTCGCACAACACTGGGCCGCGGTGACTCGAGGAGGCCGCCGGGGCCCGGGCGCGTGTCTTGAAGGTCCGATACTGGAAGCCCATGCAGGCCTGTGCGTGGGCATAAAAAGAATTTCACAACAAAGCTCCCTCGAGGACGACACTTGGCACGCGCACGGGACTGGCGCGAAAAAGAAATGTCGAGTGCGTTCCTCGATAGGCCACCTCCGCTCAGCGTGACTGGTGCTGCTCCGGCTCCGGCTCCGGCCTTGCTGCCGCTCGTCCCCGCGGCCTCGAACCTCCCTGTCCTCCCGTTGTTCCCACCCGGCTCTGTGCGCAAGCCATGGCTACCTCCGCAGCAGCGCTCATCCGTTCTACTCCACTCGCTTGAGCTACGGAGCAGATGTCTGCCCGCTGATGCCTCGTCGCGCAAAGGAAGCTTATCGCGTTATAGTCCGCCCACCTTCTCCATCGCCCTTCAGAACTGCGAGGGCATGCGTCCCGTGACATCCGCTAGGTGGGGGGCCGATGAACCGGACCACCACCATATCACAAACTCGTGCGTCCCGCTTGAAGCGTAGAGTCTCAAAATGCTGCAGTCCCGGCGCAAGACAGGCGCTGATATATATATTCTTGCATTTTTGCTCCCGGCTAAGGGAGCAAGCAAGCCCACTCAACCCCAAGTACTCACCATTCTTACACTGGTGTAGCTTGTGCAGAGGCTGCAGCCTCTGCTGGGGCGGAATGCGCGGGGTTTTCGGCGCGATGCCCTCGGCGAGTACACGCTACTGCTGTGCCGCACGCTCTCCTGCGCGCGCGTGACGTGTGGGACGCGTGCGCTGCGCTCAAACGTCGCGATTTGGCGATAGGCGCTCGAGCCGGCGCACAGCGGATAGGTGCGCCGCGCAGGGGGGGTCGGAGGGGTGCAAGAGGGGGCGTGGGTCGGGCGCGCACCGGCTGGCTCCGGGAGCGGCCGTCACGTCGAGGAGTGGGGCTGTCGGCGGCTCGAGCGCCGAGGCGAGCCGCTCTGCTGCGCCGCCGACAGCCCCTCTTCCGAGCCGGCGCGTGGAGGCGAGCCGCGGCCGGTGTCGCTGGTGCGGGGGCGGCGCAGCGTTTATCCCCCCCCCG